TCTACTTAGATATCACTTTTCAACTATGGAATTGGTGACATACGAGAAATGATGGAAAAATGAGGTGTATATGGTACACATTGCCTACCCAGACAAGACGAATAGCTGGGCTAAAACAAGAGACAAACTCTTTGAAAAAACAATAAGAGTGGTTCTTGTTCATTCTTTTCTTAAAAAAAAAAAATAACAAATCAAAAAATAACGACGAGTTGATTTGATATTTTCGTGGCTCCCGCAACTCTTGCAAGACTTAGAGGCATCACATCGATATTGTATCGATAGCAGCAGTGTTGTATCTTGGGAAAAACAACCTGACAGAATCAATCCATCTTTAGGCTGTTTTTTTTTTCTATTTGAAATTTGTTCCTTCTCCTAGAATGGTTTCCATCTAAAAACAAAAGCTCTCAACAGGTCCTTAAATTTAACCCATAGATATAGGAAAAACTGATTCATGCCTTTCTCACAGGTATTTGAGCGTAAGTTAAAATTCATCTCAACTCGACTGCTTCTCTTTCATAATCGCCAACCTTTACGCTATCTGCGCATTCTTCAGTTACATAGGAGATAAAATAAGGTGTATATTGTTCCTATTGCTACAAAACAATGCGAATATGTGGGCTAAAACCAAGAGAGCAACCTTTTCTCGTAATATCCATCTAGGCTCTTTGCAGTTTCTAATGAGTCTAAGGAGTTAATGGAATAGCTGAAAGACCATTCGTCAACTACAAGGGATTGATTGAGTGATGCTAAAATTGTCTCGGCTCGACCTAGAATCTTTCCAAGATTTTGATGTTTAAATATTTGGTCTGATTTGGGGAAATTTATCAAAGAGTTGACACCCTCTATAATGTATATTTATGTTTAGTAGTTTTGAATATACCTAATTTTTATTCTATTTGAATATTTTTTTCTCATGTAATAGCAGGTTTTGTATCCTTTACTAAATAGTTTTATTTTTTTTTAAATCATACATTAATTTATAGCAATTTATTAACTTCTTTTATCATCACATTAAATCTTTATTTTCGAACACGGTTTTTCTTTAAAAATTTAATCTAAATCTTTATTTGCTCTATTTGCTTAGCTCAAAACCTTGAACATTTCAGTGTTCCTTAATATTATATTTAATTAGATATCTGGACACCCCATCCGTCCTGCAAGATACACGGTTTTTAAAACCCTGTTATGGCACAGAACGATGGTGATATTTCATCATTCTAAACCTAACCTTGCCATCAGTGATGATAGAAAATAAAGATATCTCATCAACCCTGAAATAAAGTTAACAAATTCCATCATCCTAAAACAACCGTGCTACTAGTTGTGAAAAGCGAAAATGATACTTCATCATTCTAAAATCTGATTATAAAAATGACCCTAACACCGCAAGCGAGGGCTGTCAAGACAGTAGTGTCAGTAAAGTAAGGTGGATAGTATAGAGATCAGTGGAGTAGCAGTAGCAGTAGTAAAACGGAATACAGCATATCAATCACTATCTATCCGGAAAATCGAAAGTTGACGTTCTCAAATGCTACCCTTAACAAAGAAATTCTCGGAACAAGCAAAAACTAATACGCACAAATTTTAAAGAAACAAAAGAGAAAATAAAACTGAGAACATTTTTAACACAGACAATACCAGTATCTGTAAAAATTATGATACCAAAAAAATAGTAATATATTGTTATTTACATCAACCCTGTTTACTCTCAACAAATAATATAATGTCGTAATTGCTATTAGGTTGGTGCAAAAGTAATGTCGTTTTTGACGTTAAGTTGAACGTCAAAAAAAAACATTGTTTTTGCACCAACCTAATATTACATCAACACCTACTTGGATCATAACAGCCCTCTACTTACGGTTGACAAATTAATCTTCACTTTATATATGACCATTTTTTTTTAATTATTAATACTATTATTATGTTGTGTTTATTGTTGTCTCTGGCTTTCGGTGTCGTCTCTAACTTCTCGTATCATCTACAGGTCTTAGCTCCTCTTCACAGACTCAACTGACGGCGGGCATTTAGGTTTTTCTCTCAATTTATTTGAAGGTGGAGACAGAGAAGCCGAAACATTGTTTCTTAGAAGGAGATAAAGAGGAGGGTTATCAGCAGGTCGGTTAAGTACCCATCAGTACGTTGTGCCTGTCGGATTAAGGATTCTGGCAACGGAGAACCGTCATCATCCTTCCTGTTTTCTAATGCTATTGGCTGTCTTTGCGCGTTTTTTTTTGTCTTATATTAAATTTAACAAAATCCTTCAATGTCAGACTTACACACCTACGGGGTTTCAAACTACGCACACTCACTTCGGATCCTCTGAGTTCGGACGGGTACAGTAGGACTGACATCTTAGGTTAGCTACGCATTGTGTATTATTAGGTTGGTGCAAAATAATGTTGTCGTTTTTAACGTCAAAAAACGACATTATTTTTTGCACCAACCTAATAATTATTACTATTATAACAAAATCATTATCATTACCGTTATTATTATTGTTGTTATTACTATTAGAGTAAATATTAGTATTATGAATAATACTAGTAAAGACCAGGAAGACGATGGTCTCCGCCAGATCTCTTTTATCCAAGGCATTCTACAGCGAATTTAAGACCATACCTAGTTATGGTACTAATTAGGATGGTTATCATATGTCTGTATATAATTCGGTATATATCTAAAAATTCTTCTTTTATGTATCGCGTCACTTCAAGACGTAGGCAAACATGGCTCTCCTTCTAAGCCAACCGTAAGCATTAGGACTTTTTTATTGAATAATTTTTTCTTTAGTATCTGCTTATATTTATGAGATGAGGTATTATGTACATTATTTACATTATTCGGACTATTGTCCTCATCTTTGTCGCCATATTTATTACAAAGTTTCGGCCGTTGTACGCTCCTGCCTTCTTCAGGTGGTTAGAATGTCGAACTGAACCCTTTATTTCGCTCACTGGGCCACGTGCCATGTTTAATGGCTGTCAGTTATCAGTTATCTCCTGTTATTGTCTCTCTGAAAGTTCTCCACTGCCTTAACCGTGTATTGAACTCTTTGGGTCCTGTCACTGGATCTAACTAACTCCTTTATCCACTTTATGCCATGTATCATTGAGGACATCTGTGTATGAATTTCTGGCTATTCTAAACCTAATGTCTTCAGCAACCATTTTTTACCACTGCTCATATGGCAATTTTTGCTATGATCACTCTATGTTTTTACCAGAGCTCATATTGCAATTTTTGTTGTTATTATCGCTTTTCTCTAGCACTCCTTATTACTGGTTCCAATATTGTATTCATTTCTATGCTTGGTCGGCTCAGGAGATTTTCATGGCCTACCATATATGCTGAAACGTTGTGGAGGAGGTGATAAATATTGACTAATGCCTTTTAAGTGTATTTGAGGGTAAGTTAAAATTTATCTTGTTTTGGCTACTTCTCTTTCTGTGTCGCTAAACTTTATAATATCTGTTTATATTTCAATTGCATGCATAAATAAGTAAATAAATTGACTACGATAAACATTGAAAATACATTTAATAATGAAAAAAAAATGAGGTAATTTTTTCGGTTTGCTTTTTGTTTGAAAGTCATACCAGGAGAATTCATTATATTTGAACAGATATCACATTCAAAAAATTGTTTTGCACTGCATTTGATTTGCAACACAGACTGCATCAAGTGGTGAAATGAAAGGTTAATGTCATTACACAGAAAGCGATCATTTATATTCCAATATTTCACACTCGAGAGTTAATTGCTCACATAATTGATGAACTATAATTCCTTGTCTTGATTAAAATAATTTCTAATAAATGATTACTCTTGAATTTTATTACATAAAGAGAAGTTAGTTTTGAAGGAAAATGGGTGAAAAGGACTAACCATCAACTGCAAGAAGACAGAAAATATGGTTGTCAACAAAAGAAAAAGTTCAAGATGCGAACTGATAATTAGAGAATAGAAGATTAAATATTTTGGAAGATTTTCAATAGAGAAGAAAGAAGGTGACAACGAAATCTGAACACGCATTTGTTTTATCGAAATTTGTATTCGAAAAAACTAAAAGAAAGTACAATGAAACAAGAAAAATACATTAAAAACAAAGAGAAAAATCATGAACTATGTGATATCGACTGGGCTCGGATTTGTCCTCAGAGTTTACTCCTGAAGATTTCTCCAAAATTGGAAACATATTTCTTCAAATAACGATCACAACAGAACACAATTACTTATACTCTTGTTTGTATTTGCACCACATTCCTCCTCTATGACAGAGAATACCGGACATTTCCCTGACAGATAAAAAGAAGATATGGTTGCAAAGAATGTGGTTCTACAGAAGGATACTGAGAATATTAACATCTAAACGTGAATACCAAGGAAGTTTTAAGAACAACGGAAAACAAAAAAGGCAATTTTACTTGGAATAAAAAGAAGACATTGTGGACATTTTCTGCGATACCCAACATGGTTGGTTGATTCGTTTTTTTCGGTTTATCAACCCTTTGTAGGTTATTTAAAGCCAGGACTTTTTTTACTTCTAATATATATATATATATATATATTTTTAGATCATATTTTAGTGACATAAGTCTTACGAATTAACACATGGCTAAATTTATGAATCCATCCCTTCACATCTCCCAGCTATGGGTAAATATTAGGACAGACTAGGTTCCATAACATTGGGTGGCATCCGGTCTATAAGAAAAAAACTGTGAATTCAAAATTGTATTTAACCTTGTCGAAGCATATATTATACTGCTAAGGAAAGGATCTTGCGCATTGACTCGATGATCCTGACTACGATCGACTAATTTTTATTTTTTATTTTTATTTTTTTTTTGGCGGGTGGGTGGAGAAGTGGTTTTTTTTCATACCTTTCCTATGAGTATTTATGCGTAAGATAATATAAAGACCCAAACCGGAATTGGAACTCGCCCTCCGATTAAAATTTCAGAGGCGTTAAGCATTACACCAGCTGCATATCTAAGCTTACAGCACCTGCTATTCCCAAACGGTCACCCATCTAGATACAGACCATAGTCGATATTGCTTAACATCGGTGATCATACGGGAATAGGTGTTTCAACATGATGTGACTACTAGGTCTACGCAAGGCAGAAAACATTCTTAGGGATTTTTAAAATTACAGGACATAATGGAAAAGAGTCACAAATTTGAAATATCGAGTCGCCTATTTAACGAGCTTATATAAATGGATGGCAGAACAGTGACTGAGGGGGATTATAATGGGATAAATATAGAATGAATTTAAACAGAATAGAAAGCTGTGGAGAGACGTAAATGTTATTAATACGCATGACACATAATGAAAGAAGAAAAAGAATATTTGTAAGAAGAATAATGTCATCACTCTGTAAAAATTTACCTTCAAAATATATAAAAATGATTTTCTCGTATAGCAATACCGCGTAAATGAATATAATATTGGGCCAGGATCATCACTATGAATAAATTTGCCTACGAAATCCTGCAGCTGCCTTTTAACATTGGATCAGAAAGCAATAATAATTTTCCATAAAAGAGCATCTGTCAATGTATCGACAGTTTTCTGTACGTCTGACAGTATGTTACAGTACAGTATTAGTACAGTATGTACTAATTGTTCTCGTACTGTATTAATGTCAAGTACGATAATGTGGATTCACAACTGTATGTTGAGGGAAAAATATTAAATATGTCGGCGTGCCTAGTCCCGAGGCGAAGGATATTCTACCAACCTTTTCTGAATTTCAATGGTATATGTCTTGCTGTTAAACAGAGTTTTCGGTATATTATTTTCAAACAATTCATTAAGCCGTATTTGTAATTCCTCGGTGAAGCTGAAAAGAAAGTCCCAGGGTGGCATTATGCTTTTCAAAATCACCGAATGTTTGGCTGCATTTTTCTGTTAATGAGTCTAACACTGATTGGTAGTTCTGAAAAGATTCACAGACATTCTTTTCACTTTCATTCATTACATTCGACAAGTAGGGAAAATGTTCTTCTGAAAGCTTTGTGCAAGAAAGGACTCTGAAAATAATAACTTCTTTGTAAACAAAAGAATTTATTGTCACTTATACATTGATTAATTTCTGCCTTGTAACGAAATATTTAACTGATTTTGCTTTGTAATTACATGACACAGAAATGAAACATCTCTGTGAAATTTTGAATCTGATAAATCACAAAACTTATTGTTGTCTTTAAAAAGATCAATTATTTACTCTCGTTAAGGCACACAATTCACCAATACGTGTACTTGCGATAACCAACATATCTTTTACTGGGAGGTCAAATTTACACTAATTACCTCATCTATCATCAACATGTTTCAAAACTGATGATGCCTCATGACATTTGCTTGTATAAAGTATAAATACTTATAATTACTTGTCAGGTGTTATTTAAAATAGCAGATTTTGTACAGAGATGTTGCTGGCGCAGAATGCAATGAAAAGAAATCAGTAAATTTGGAGCTGTGGGTTCTCTTTTTAAATTTTCAATAAACCCATCTTTTTTAGTCATAATAGCTGGAGCACTATCAGTACACACACGAATTTATTAATATTTAGCCCAATCTTATGGCATATTTCTTTGAAGAAATTTTTAAAAATATTTATTAAAATAGCTATTCCGCGTGTCTTACTTTTAAGGGTGCCTAAAGCAATTTATTCTTCAAATAATTGAAAATCGTCACTCATTGTATCAATGATATTTAATACTTGTGCCAAATCAGTAGAATCTGTTGATTCCTTCAATGATAGAGATAAATATACAATGTATTTTTTATTAAATTTTGGACCTTCTCTGTTATATTACGGGGCATTTCATGCTGTCGACCTGCATTAGTCTTTCTTGAAAAAAGCATAATTTATATTTGTTAACTTTATCTGCATCTAAACATTTTACTTCTACAATGCATTCATTTATGAGCTCTGCGTCGCTGAAAGATGTACCCATTTTTTATAAGCAAATATGCAACTTTCTAGCTGACTTTATGATGTGATGGAATAACCTGCCACCCCCATGAGTGGCGGCACTATAGGTGGTAACCACCTATAATTATCCGTGATGACAGCGGACGACAGGGTCGAGCTGGGATCTTTCCCAGCTGTACTGGTCGAACTTTCTGCCTTTGGGCAGAGAGGACCCCGGACGATGCTATGCCCAAGGGCAGAGTTTCGTCCGGGGAGGTAGACAGACACGATCCCGTTTATGCGGGGTCCACGGGGATTTTTTGGCCGAGCCTCCGGGCTCGGGAACCCCACATTAAATTCGGCCTTGTGCCACATGTGACTGCGTGGGGCAGTTACTAAATACCGTCGAAATGGGACCTGCGAGACGCAATCGTCGTCGGTCTTTTAAAAATCAGTTCTATTATTGTACTTCTACTAAGTAATGTCTTTCCCAGAGACTTTGTAATCACTGATAAAACTATAGTAAGCCGTTGAACAATGCTTGTATCAGACGCCTTCGAATAACACTCGCACTAATAGTACTCGCTCGATAATACTCGCTCGTAGAGCAATCTATATAGATAAACAGTATAGTGAATAGAGTAGAGAATAGCGGTCCGTATAGTAATAGAGGATAGATTAGAAATAACGATCAATTAGACGCAAAGCTAATTCCTGCTTATGCGTTTCCTCTGTGGTCACATGGTCTACTTGAGATCGCCTGTGTTTGCTCACTGGCGATCTATGTTCAAACCCAAGTTTCGGCAGCGACACTTTTCCTATATATCAAAAGGTAATTTTTTGTTGAAAAGGGACATTTTTATGCTTGTCTAGGGAAATATGTTTGTAGGAAACTGACAACACTTCTCATCTAAATCTCAAGCTCCAATTCAGGCCCCGGCTCCAATATTTTGAAATTTATGGCTCCAGGTTCAACATTTTAAAATTTCTGTATCCTACTCCGGTGCTGGCTCCCAGCTCGAGCTAGTCTCACAGTAATGATTGATATACCTTAATGGAATTGAACCATGCTCTTTGCTATTCATTGGCCATGATAGACGGCTATTGATCTAAATTCTAATGACTATACTTGTGCCTTTATTTATCACATATTACTGATTATTATATAGTCAATATTGATAATTGATAACAACATGAAGTTACCAACATATTTTAGTACATCACAATTATCCTTTGTTAAGTAGAAGTTCAATTTTTCAGGTAAAATTAAAATAATACAACTGGTAAAAAATTATAAAGTTCGTTGTTAATTGAAGTGGTGTGAGATTAGTATTTGAAAAGTCATAGATTAAGAATCAACGTTGAAAATATTAACTCGCTCTGAGAAATAGCAGGTAGGCTGGTAGCAAGATTGCGTATGATTTTACTAAGAAGCGGTTTTAGCTGGACGAAGGGAAAGGAATTCGACATTTTATATATTATAGCAGTCCTTTGTTCGGTCAGAGTTTTTCTTGTGTAGTAGATTTCTTTTTTTCTTTTTATGTTGACTCGTAGAAATAAATTTGGCATCAAAGTTCTGAAAGGCCAACTGCTAAGTTGAGTTACACCTTGATCCTTCTATGTTCAAGTCTCTCCTTTTTTACTGTCTTCTGCCTGTTGGCTGCACTTTGTATCCATTTATATTCTAGTTTATTTTCTCGCACCAGGTTCGTGAAATTCTTTTCTTTAAATTTTTCTCGAATTTCCGAAAAGCAATGCTTCTCAGTGGTTGAATATTTATTTCTAACATAGGCGCTAGAATTTCTTAGTTTCTCGGGTTTCCTCAGGAAACTCAGGTTGCCTCTCGTTGGATGAATATTTACATCACACCTTGTCGCGAATTTCTTAATTGTTAGTAAGGGAAAAGTGAAAATTTAGCCAAGGCGTAACCAACAGGCACGTCACTAAGCCACGAAATAACGAAAACTGTTGCTACAATCAGAATAATATTAATGTGAGGATATATATATATATATATATATATATATATATATATATATATATATATATATATATATCCTCCCGTCAAATTCGACGTTGAGGGTCAAGCAGATCAGTTCCAAGGAAACCGACAGCCCGACAACAGCACTAGAGAATTGATTATAGTGATGAACGTTTCCTGCAGGATCATACACACTTTTTCAAGGGCCGAATACAGAGACCTGGTGCACCGAAAGTCACAAGGTTCCCAAACGACCCTCCGCAGGTTTTGAATTCAGAGTTGTCTTTGTCCTAGACCAGTTGCCATGCAAGGCTATAGAACCCAGTCTGTCCTGCTATTTACCCATAGCTGGGGTGGGGAAGAAGAGGATTCATACCTTTCCCAAGGGTATTAGCATGTAAGTGAATATAATGGATTCGAGTGAAATTCAAACTCGGCTCTCCGATTCCTCAATCCAAGCCGATGTCCATATATATATATATAATTTTGCTATAAAGATGTTAATGGTTCCAAGTTAACAGCAGAGAAAACGGCCTCAGACAACTCAAACCACACTAGTAAATTATTTTAATCACCAGAATGATTACTTTAATTATTACAGAGAAAGAGGAAGATTTATTGTGAACATTTTTTGCTGGCTTCAGCTCCGGCTCCAACCTTTCTAAAAAAAGTTGCAGAATGCCACATGCAATGACCCAGAAACCTGCAAGTTCCATCAATATATAAGCAGTAATCGATGTGATAATGCGGCATCGCCGAGCAGAGGGCTAAATAGACTGAACTCAGTGGTCATGGTAGAGGGTTCCCTGACTGAACCAATGACCACGTGTCCATAATCAAGACCAGCCATTGTTATTGACACGTTAGAGGACGTCGGTTTGGTTCAGACCTATAGAGTAACGATCTCCACCAGGCCTACTTGCAAAAGAAACTCTACTGACTCTCTGGTTTACAACCCAGGTAAATGTAGTCCACTGGTAGGGGTGCTCATCTACGATAATGTTTCCAAAACCTTTTCGGGTTGCCAACTCCCTTGTGCGTCAAAGCAAAACGCTAAGGCACAGTCAAATCTACAGCCAATTTTTCATTGTATTTGCTTTGTGCGAGCATAATCCGTAATAATTGTTAGATAAATTAGAACCACTCCAAATTTAAGGAAAGTTACTGTTCAGTTGTTTGTGCTGTATTTTATGGTCAAG